TAAAAGAGTATTATAAAACAAATGTCCCTCTCTTAGATACATTTATAACCCAAATAAATGAATGGTTTTTAATTCATTGTACAGCACTTACAAATCCATAGATATTACTTCCACAAAAGCCTTTCCAACCTTATTCAGATGGTGATAGAAAAAAAAATATTTGTTAGATTTTTATCATGAAGATGTTAAAGTATCTTATGATGCCTTATTAGCTGAATAACTATGATTAAAAGATTAACTATGGTTGATACCCCAAAAAATGCTATGGATGCTTTCTTTGCATTATTTCAAACACATTTTAGATTCCCAATGTATGAAAATGGTTATATGTAATAGCAACTCTTCCCATTAGTAAACTAATGAGAGAACATTCTCTTTTTTAAGAAGAATAACAAAGCCCTGCAGAAATACCATTTGCAGGGCACGACACGAATTTTTTTTTTTAATTTTTTTCCGCCCGGTTTTTTAAAAAAAAAATTCAGGCCAAGCTCGGTTTTTTTTTCAGGCCCAGCCCGAATTTTTTTAAAATAAATTATATTTATTTTTGATTTTTATAGCTAATAATGGCGATTTCAAATTTTTGGTTTTAAAATATACAGCTCGGCCGGATATTTTTTTTAAAAAATTATCAGGCCCAGCCCGGGTGTTTTTTTTTAAATTTTGAGCCCGGCCCGGGTATGTATAAAAAATTAAAATACGGTCCGGCCCGGGGGCCGGGCCTGCAACGCTCTGAAAAACATACCTATGAAATACAACTTCTGAAAGTGGATTCAATGATTTGGATCTTTTGAATATTCATAGGCATTTAACGCCAAGCAAGGATAGATAATTTAAAAATTAGCTCAAAACTTACAAAATACAATTATTCCTAAGAAACTTTTTGTGTATTAATTTATATTTCCATCATTTAAATTTTTTATACATTAAAATTTTAAAGGCTCAAAAAATTCAAATTTCAATTTTGGGTCATTTAAGTAATTCATATCGTGGTTATATTCACTTTATATTTTATAATTCACATTTATTTTATAGTTTTTCAATACCGGTTTATATGTATAATTTTTTTGTAATTCACATTAATTTAAAATTGTGTATTAGAAAAGTTATTAGTCCTAATAAATTTATGCTTAATATTTTTAATTAACAATAATATTTCTTAAAAAATTTTATTATCCCCTCCCCAGACCAAATTCCTGCCTACGCGCCTGGGTTCAGTAAATTTTATTTAAAATTATAATTAAGATATTTGTATAATTGTAAATACAAATATTATTCATTTAAATGAGATTTTTTAATATTTTCAATATTGGATCATTCAGCTGCCTATTTTCAAATTAAAGTGGAGGAAGGGTCACAAAATATCTTGTAATCAATACAAGACTACCATTTGGTATATATCGTATTCTCCGGCAATATTCCAACGGGCCATCGAGAATTAAAAGGTTTTGAAGGAGTAGTTATTTAGATGATATTATAATAACCGAAAAAAATCGAGAGAAACATAAAATTAATTTTGGTTTAGACAAAAATTATATCAGACTAAAAATATGAAAATGTTAATTTTTCAAACAAAATAGTATTAGGACATAATATATCAAAAAATGGGATAAAAACTACAAAAAAAAATACTGAGGCATTAAAAAAGCACCAGAACCAACAAATTAATAACAATTACAGTCATTTCTATGAACAATTAAATGTTCAAAATTCATTTCAAATTGTAGATATAGACAAACCATTATATAAATTTTAGAAAAAGTAGTAGATTGAAGATGGACACAAAGAAATAAAAAGATCTATAAGTAAAAATAAAGAAAGCAATAAATATTGCTCCAGTATTACAACATTATAATCCAAAATTACCAATCATATTTGCAACAGATGCTTCGGCCAAAGGAATAGGGTGGTAATCTCACATATAGAAGTGGGGGAGACCAATCGTATTCGCCTCAAGAATGCTAAATACAGCAGAGAAATTACTGCAAAATAGAAAGAGAAACTCTTGCCGTCAAATTTGGATTTATATATGGAAAAAGGCTCACATAACAAACAGATTATAAGCAATTAGTATATTTCATCCTATACCAACAACATCCACTACCAGAATACAAAGATGGGCTATTATTAGCAGGTTACTAGTATGAAATAGAATTCAAGAGTAGCCGAAAATAGCAATGATGTCGATTATTTATACAGGGAAAGACAATATTAAAAGAAACACTGGATCAAATACAATGGGGGAACCAAACCAACACCTTTAAATGCAAATGAAATTGAAAGAAAAACAATGCAAAATGATAATTATTTAAAGTATAACGTATACAAACAGGTAACCAATAAGCTATGATACATGTTTAAAGGAGTATAGCCAATTAAGGGAAATCACAACAGTTTGAGGTTGTTTACTGTGGAGAACTAAAATGATAATACCACAACAAAACCGAAACAACGTGTTAGATATGCTACATATAAGACATACTGGAATGGTAAAAATGAAGATGAGGGCAAAACAGTGGTGACCTAATAATATAAACCAAGACATAGCGACATGGGTGGATAAATGTAGAGAATGCCAGGAACATCATGATATGCTTAAAAAACATCAATTCAAAATTATCCAAAACAACCAAAAGCATGTAACCGAGTATATATTGATTATGCTAGACCATTTCAAAGTCATTAGGTTAGTGATAGATGCTAGCAGTCGATGGCCATAAATATTTACTATGACTTAAAACCACCGAAAGCACGATAAAAATATTAAGAAATACTTTGCCAGATTCGGATTTCCCAAAATAATAGTTCCTGATAACTAGCCTCAATTCAGAAGTAAAAAATTCAATGATTATAAAAAAATGAAATACCATTAGTGTTGCAGTTATTCAAAATAGCGATTAAATATTTTAAATAACAATATATCAATTTTTTTAGTTTTAAAAAAAATAGATTGTTTATAAAAAATACTTTCTATTTTTTTTACTTTTTAATTTTTGGGAAATAAATTTAATTAAGTTTTAATATTCTTGAATAAATTTAATATTTTGTTGAAATTTGGATATAAATTTTGAAATAAAAGAAATAAATTGAAGAAAAATAATCTGACTTAAACAAATGGTGTTCATATACATGATTTTCTTATTCTAGATTAATGTGGTTATTATTATTAAAAATATTTATGAATTCATTCTTTGACAAGTTCACATATCAAATCGGAAGAAAACATTCTAGGACAGGGTTCCTAATATATTATTCTTATTAGGTTACACAGGTAAAAAAAAAATTTTTTTATATTGTTCCTTAAATTTAAAAAATTAAATTTTTTTATTGCACAACGCAAATTTTGGAAAATAATTAATTTTTAAAATAATTAAGGATTTTGGTAATAAATTTTTTGTTGTAAGTATAAATAGTATAGTTACAGCTTTAATATTTTTCATATTATATATATCATTAATTTTTGTTCAACAATTAGTTAAGAAAATTAGGAAGAAATTTACAAATAAAGTGAGTAAGTTCGATTATTCAAATTTTGTGGATGTAATTTCTATGACATCTGCTTAGTCTTTAGATTTTTCTGAGGGTATAAAAAATAGTCTGAATTTGATTTTACTTGAACTTAAAAATTCAAATATTAAAAAAATAAATAATTCCAGTGGGAAATGAAGTATCTACTGTTTGTAAAAATATTGATATCGAAAGATATAAATGATAATTTAAATTCACTTGTGAGTGAAATTAGAAAGTAAATTTTTGAGATTGTGGTTGATAAACCAGAGGTTAGTATTAGTGTTATTAATAATGATAAGCAAAGTGAAAGTGAATATTTGATTATATGTGAGAAGAAATTAAAGAAAAGTTTAAAAAATCTTTCTAAAAACATATATATACTTAGAAATAAAAATAAAGATTTTTGTGATCGAAAAATTCTCTAATAGTGATAAAAATGTAGTTTGTCATCGATGTGGCTTCTTAGGTCATATAAAATGAAATTGCATGGTAAAAGATGTAAATTTTAAAAATGATTTTACAAAGAGACCACCAGTATTGATAAATCCGGTGGTTAGTAACATAAAAATCCTATTATTTCAAATCTAAGTGAAAAAGATATGTATAATATGGATAGTGCTCGAATGTGCTTCAGATGTGAAGAAATGGGTCATATTGCTATGAAATGTGCTCAATCCATGAGTGGATTGCAGTGACTATATGATTTGCGAGAAAGTCATATAAAAATTGAGAAACCAAAAAATTAAATAATTTATCTATAAATTAAATTTTTATTTTCTCCAGACATGCTTTTAAGCATAATTAATATACTATTCCTCCTGAATGGGACATTTAATTTTAATGGTATCTAGTATATCTGATGTTAGATATATTGTACTTAGGCATTATTTTTGATGCCTAGAACTCAAATTCAAACTCTGCAGTTTTATATATCTTAAAGCTGTAATAATTTCTCTTTATCTTTTGATAAGATTTTCATTCAATACAATTCATTGTAACCAGACTATGTAAAACATGACCCAATAACAGATGGTGCTCAATTCACCTAATCAAACACCCTTTCTATATAAGTAAAATTATGGTAACTTTTGGAATTTAAGATTTTTAATAGATTAAATTCTAAAATGATGTAAAAATAATTAGGCTGTTAAAATAGGTATAAAATAAGAATTCATCCTGATTCACACAAAAAATTTACAACAGTTGGCCAATTATCAAAATAAAAATGCATAAAATATGGGAATTATTTTTTAAAAAAATTCGCGCCGGCCATGCACAGCCGATATGAAAATTTGATTTTTATAATGGGAGGCGTTTTCGGCGTGGCCAAAAACATCGGGCCGGCGCACAGGCCTACTCCTAACCCAAAAATCCTTGAATGTTAAATGGAGCACTCCAAATCTGGACCGATGACATGATTTTAAAGAATTTAAATTTATAACCATTTATATTTGTTATTAGTAAATATTTTATTTTAATTTATTCAAATTAACCATATGTTCCATAAAATCTTTGTGCCCACTAAATTTCTGTATATAAAAACTAAAGTGCAGGCTAAAATGTAGAAGGTGCGAATCGAAGTATCGTCGGCATCCAAATATTTTAATTTGCATTCATTTAAACCAGGGTAATTTGCATTGGGATAATTTATCTTTGTATATATTTGGCACCTATATTTTTTTAGAAAAAAATAAAAATATTTTAAATTCAACAATTTAATCAATATAAATAACAAATTACGAATTAGAGAATATCAATTAAAAAGATTAATTCGATTCGATCAAATAAATATCATATTAGCAAATATTTTATCCAAAATTTTTTAGTCACCTAATGTCTTATTTCAAATGATTACTTTTTTTAAAAAAACAGTTGTTTTCGTGAAAAGGCATACCATGCTTTTTTTTTTAAAGTGATTATGTTGCTACAAAAAAAAATATTTAAAATATATATTATATGCAACATAAAAATCAAAGAACGTTAATATTCAATGGTCCATTACTTTTTGTCAATTTTTTTAATTAAATGTGTCCAGACATAAATTTTTAAAAATGCTCAAATTAAATAAGAGCATTATAATTCTCAGCTCACTTTTGTCTCTTCAAACGATGCCACCATTTATATGTCAATTAGGCCTATTCAAAAAAAACGAATTATTCGAATAAAACGAATTATTCAATAAATTGCTTTTTTTTAAATAAATCTAACATTTGTCATTTCTATTTGATAACCTGCCAATCTGACAGGTGATGTGTTTATAAAAAGACTAGCAAAAATTTTAATTTCCCGTATTTTTTCAAAATTAATTATATTAAAAATTACACAAACCAAAAGTATATAAAAATATATACAAAACAAAGGTATATAAAAATATATTATATCTTTATAATAGAATATTGTTAGCTAGCCTAATTATGTTAGAGGAGAATGATTCTGATGAAATAGTTATGGTTGATGTTGACAAAATTTCTTCACAAAAAAGAGCGATTATATGGGATCAATATCAACTCAATGGTGAAAAGGCTGCTTGCAATCATTGCAAGAGCATTATTAAATGCAAAGGCAAAACAACATCGTCTCTTATTAATTATTATAATAGGTTTCATTCACATCTCTGTAAAAACAGTAATAAAATTGACACTTTTTTAAAGCCTATATCACCTTTTTCTTTATCTAAAAAAATTAATTATAAAGATAACTTACTAAAATTATTTATTAATAACAATTTATCTTTTAAAATTGTTAATTCACCTGATTTTAAAAATTTTATAAATGATCTTGATTCTTCTATAAAATCAATGTGCTCCAATACTCTTAAATTGCACATGTATAATACATTTGCAGAAAAAGAACAGTTGATAAAGGATATAATATCCAAAAATAAAAGTCAGATTAATTTTTCATCTGATATTTGGACTAGCCCAACTCAGGTTCCTTTTTTAGGGTTAACAGCCCATTTTATTGATGATAATTTTAAAATAAATAACATAGTTTTGGATGTTGCTCCAATAAATGAACAACATTCAGGTGAAAACATATTTAAAGCCTTTATTAAAATAATTAAAAATTATAATTTGGAGAATAAAAATTTTTATATAACTCTAAATAATGCTACTAATAATAAAACATTTATTGATACATTTTCTTTAAAATATCCATCAATAAAAATAGGGCACATTCGATGCTTTGCTCATGTTATTAATTTAATATCCAAAGAAATTTTAAAAATTTTAAATCCATCAATTTTAAAACTACGAAACATTAGGATGATACGTAATTCTCCTAAAAAATTAAATTTATTAAAAAATATTTGTAGTTCACTACATCCTCCTATAAATTTTTTAAAACCCAAATTGGATTGTGAAATAAGGTGGAATAGCACCTACCAAATGATTGAAAGGGGCTTATTGTTAAAGCCTGCTATAAAAAAATTAGTTAATGAAGTTATAACTAATATTATAATTCTTCAAGAAAAACAATTATCAGAGGTAAACTAAAATTTATAAGTAGGTAAATAATACTTTATTGACATAACATACAGGAGGAATGGTACGATCTTGTAAAAAAATCTATCCTATTGCCTTTGTATGAGACTACAAATATGGTTTGTGGGGAAAATTATCCTACTTATAATTTGGTTATACCCTATTATATTCTAATTCTTGAACACTTAAAAAATGAGAAACCTTGTTTCCATAAAACCTCTAACAATGATTTCAAAGTGGCATGTGATAAATTGTTGGGCTATTACAATTTAACTGCAGATGATGCAATAATAGCTACAATATTGGATCCCAGGCTCAAAATAGAATATTTTAAATCAATATCTCTTGATTATGATATTGATATATCCAGGTTAACAGAGAAATTTAAAGAGATTTACAGCAGATATACAGGTATTTAATTTACCCCCATTTAAATACATATCATTTTATTTTATAAGATGCTGATAATTACAACTGCCAAAATAAGAATGAAAGTCAACAAAACAGGCTTGACATTGTTTTTAAACAAAATTATGTTCAACTATGTGAAATCAGGGTTTCGAACCGAACCGAACCGCCAAACTGGAATGAACCGTTATAATTTTCTGAACCGTAACCGTAACCGAACCGTTATAAAGAAACTATAAAAAGAGCGAACCGAACCGTTATAAATATTTTAAACCGGTTCAAAACGGTTTTAAAAAATAATTAAATTTAAACATTATTAACCTAAATTTGAAATTTGAATTTTCCTTGGGGAAATTTTTAAACTCTTTATTTCTTTTCAAATTGAATTTTTTTTACATGTCAATTAATACCACCATGTTTATTGTTTTTTCTTTTCACTTTAATAAATACTCAATTTAATAGAGATTAGGCGAATTACCAGTTAATTAGATAAGAATCTTAAAATCAAACAAGACTATTCTTTAAATTAACAAGTTTATTCTTATATATATATATATATGTATATTAGTTATTAATTAGCTTATTAATACTTGCTAATAATTTGGGGAAAATCATAATTCTAACTAACATCTAAAGAAAATCAGGTACTGATTACTTTTAATAAAATACTGTTTTATATTAATTTCTTATTAATTAATATTTTCATAATGAATAATTTATAATGACTTAAATGAATATTAGAATTCTGAAATTAAAAAAAACATATGATTGTTAATTAATATTCCTGTATTTTATGGTTAATTTATTTATTTCCATTTACACTTTAGTGGATAATTTCTTGAAATAATAACTACTTACTGATTAACCTTCTAAATCTTATAGTACCAAATAAAATTTAAACACATGAAATTCAATTGGATAATTATAAAATGATAAAGTATCCATTAAAGTTTTAATTTAATTAACTTTAATTTTTTAATAAAAGACAGTTGTTTTTGGAATTTTAAACAGCTTTTCTATTTCTTTTCTTCTTATTTTATATCTTATCTTTTTGCTTCTTTCTTTTCTCTATTAAATCAAATTATTTATTAAAATGGTATTAGTAAGCTCCATTCACTTATTTAGTTTCATCTGTGTACAAGGTTTGTTGTTAGTATCTTTGAGGAAAAAATCGGCATAATTATATGAAGGGTAGGCCTGCATATAATTCACGTTTTTGGGGGAGATCTTGTCAGATAAGATAAATAAAAAATTATACTGATTCTATTAAGAAATTTATTTATTCTATTTTTATAATAAAAGATTCTGATCTATTCATCATCATATAGCATATTAGTATCTATTAAATGGTTCGGGAAAAGTCAAATCCTGTGCGATCATATTTTAAATTAGATATTGTAAAAAATCAATCTACTTGTAAACTAGAAAACTGTGGTAAAGTTTTAACCGGGGACCATGCAGCAAATCTTGAACGACATATAGAAAGATTCCACGATAAGGAATTCAAATTATTAAAAAAAAAGAAGATAATTTGACTATTAAAAAAACAATAACAAAAAATGCAAATAATCATAATACAATTCAAAATGCTTTTACCAAAACTAATACAATACAAATTAATATTAATAAAGACACTTTAATCCGTTCCTGCACTGAGTTAATCACAGTTCATGGGAGACCAATAAAATCAATTGATGACAAAGCATTTAGAAATATTATAGATCCGATAATTGTAGGATTGGGTGGTAATTTAACCATCAATTCTGAAAATATACGCAATAATATTAAAAAAATGGCATTTGATTTTTCGCAAAATTTAAAAAAAGAAATATACCAAAAACTTATATCGTTAAAATTAGATATTGCAACTCGATATGATAGGTCCATACTGGGGATCAATATTCAATTTATAGATAATGGAGAAATAAAATTAAGAACGTTATGCATGAAAGAGATAAAAGAAAGACATACATCAGAATATCTAAAAAAAATTATTCTAGATGTTCTAAACGAACATGAAATAAGAATTGATAAAATTTATAAGATAACCACAGATAATGCAGCTAACATGATTAAATTAATCAAGCTGTTAATACATCATGATGAAGAAGATGATGAAGATGATATCCTTAATGATTATTTAGATAATGATAATTTAAATAACAATGATGATATAATTGTTAATGAAAATGAAGAACCTTTTTTTAATATTGAAAGTATTAATCTTGTACCTCATACGAGATCCATGTTAATGGGCATTAGATGTGCCTCCCACACATTTCAATTAGCAATTAATGATTGCATAAAAAATTCAAATGAAATTGTTATTATTAATAAAGCAAGAAACATTTGCAAAAAAATAAGAAATCAGACTACAATGTCTATTTTGTCCAAATTAAATTTAAAAAAGCCACTAATAGATTGTTGCACAAGATGGAATTCAATCTATTTAATGTTGGAAAGATTATTAGAGTTAAAAAACTTTTGCCAAGAAATATCGGCCCAAAGTAATGATCGTGAAAAATGTTTGTCAGAGAATGAATGGAAAATAATTAGTGATATATTAAAAGCTTTATATCCATCTTATATTTTGACAAAATATATACAAAGTGAACAAATGACCATGGGCGATTTTTATGCAGCATGGATCAAATGTATCATGCAAACTAGCAAAATAGACACTTCATTTGCCAAACTTTTCGTTTGTACAATCAAAGCACGAGAGATTAATTTGAAAAATGAAGTTTTTTGCTCAGCTATATATCTCGACCCAAGATATAATGTATTTTGATCATTTGAAGAAAAAGATATCGCCAAAAAACATCTTTATAAAACTTGGAACTTAATCCAAAATTTAAATAATCAGAATATTGAAAATCTAGATACTATTCCTACGTGTTCACATTTGAAAGATAACTTAGATGATGATTTTGAAGATTTATTAATGTCGCATGAAAGCCTTAATAAGAATAGTTCTCAGGGCATAGAAAATTATAATAAATGTGTAGAAATAGAGTATATAATTCGGTCATTTGATAATATAGAGAGATTAGAAAAATATGCAAATCTTTTGAATTATTGGGAAAATGTAAAGAATAGTATGCCAGAACTTTATAAGTTAGCTATGGTTGTGCTAGCAGTTCCAGCTACGCAGGTATCCGTAGAAAGAGCATTTTCTAGCCTTAAGTTTATACTCTCTGCGCAAAGAACTAAATTAAATCCTGAAATATTAGAAAATATTTTAGTTATCCGTTCCAATTCTCTTTTTAAAAATAAATAATATAAATTTCATTATATTTATGTGTTATTTTATTCCTCATTGTATTTGCGCATGTTTGTGTTTATCTTATTTATGAAATAAAAAGAATTGATTTGTCTAATTTATATTTACTAAGTTTAATAAAAATATCTATAGATTATCATTCATGGTTAAATTAAATAAGAAATTATAAAAAGAATTTTCTCTAAAATTAATATATACATGGTTAATGATTAATTTTTTTTAAAATTAAATTTATAAAAACCGGAACAAACCGAAAAGAACCGTTATAAATTATAAACCAAACCGAACCGATATGATTATTTTTTTAAAAAACCGAAATGGAACAAAACCTTTATAAAATTTTAAACTAAAAACCGGAACGAACCGAACCGTTATACTAAACGGTTCGAAACCCTGTGTGAAATCGATTTTTACCTGAGTGAACCAAGATCAAAGAGTGATACTGATCCATTAATGTGGTGGAAGACAAATGCACATAGGATCCCCATACTCTCAAAAATGGCAAGAGATTATTTATCTATACAAGGAACATCAACTGCGTGTGAAAGACTTTTCTCAGTTGGCACTAATTTGTTGTAAAAAAACAGCATGTCGTATAAAGAAGAAAATATAAGAAAAACCCTTTGCCTTAAAAATTGGCTTAAAATTATAAATTAAATGAATAATATAATATTTTAATTTTGTTTAAAACTTGATATTTATTTGTCATCGGATTATTATAATTTTTTCTGTTTGAAATCAAATTTGCAATAAAAAAATTTGTCAATATATTTGAGTATGATTTATTTTATTAAGAAAATTTATTTCAATTATTCGAAAATTATTCGAATCGAATACAAATAGTAGATTTTATTATTCGTACGAATTCAAATAGTAAATTATTCGATTTGCACTATTCGATTCGAATACGTTTTTGAATAGGCCTAATGTCAATACAGTACTAATGATATAATGTTTTAAATAAATCAACTTACCAAAGATAGTTATCGAAATTGTTCTCATGCCAACTGTTTTCCAAGACTGTGACACTAATTTTGATAAAGTAACAAATAATGATAATGATCGAACAGATTAACCAAAAGTAAAACTCCCCTTTAATAACACTTTTATCTTTACCTGTATAATATGGAAACTTATAATATATGATGATATATTTGTAATTACATTTAACACTTGATATGTACAAACCTAATAGTGATATAATGAATATAGGAACCAGTATAAATAAGTCAAATTTGTTTGTAGAAATATTCAAAAAACATATTCCCAATCTATAGCTTCCAACAATCTAATATTAAAATATTAACTGTAAGACATTTAGTATTCATATAATATCGATATTTTTTTATATACTATATTAAAAATTAATTTTATTAAATTAACTATGTACTAGCGCTTTTCCTGGCTATAGTTGAGGAAGTGGCCTGGAAAGAGGGCTTAGGGTGGGCCTTAGGCTGATAACATGGAGAGGGATGTATAACTGAAATTTTACACTCATGACTTTCAGATTTATTGCTAACTTCGTTATTATATTTTATGGATGATTTTAAAAGAGGTAAGATTTTCCATCGGCGATATGAAGAAGACTGAAAACTCTTTGAATGAATAATTATAATTTTGTTTAAGCGCTTTCAATGAAGATAGAAAATATGGGTTAGTCATTTGAAAAATAACTAAAAAAAAATTTTTTTTAATTTATTGGTTCATGGTTAAAAAAAGATAACATGAAAAACAGGACAAAAAATAGTATTTAAGATCTATTAAAAAATAGAATTTCCAGACCCCTGGACGCTAAAGGGAAAAGAAAAAATAACCCATCCCTCGAGGTGTGACAGGGGCCTATCACTTTTTATGACCTAAAATTTATCACAACATGTCACATCCAAAAAATCCAAAATGTAAGCAAGTGACATTAGCACAACTTAATGAATTAAAAAATCCAAAATGTAAGCAAGTGACATTAGCACAACTTAATGAATTAAAAAATCATGGAGCGGGTGGAGAGAATAATATAGGGCTATAGCCAAGATTAGCAAATTATTTCAAACAAAAAGAGGGAGAATTTAACCATAATTTTAAAAACTATTATTAAGCTTTTACATAAGAAATATGAAGACAAAATATTCTAAGAATCTATATAAAATAAATCTTATTAATTTTTTTAGAAGATTTTACACTATTAAATTGTTAATTTTTGTTTTAAAATCAAATTCGGGCCTTGCAAATGGTACCTCTGCAGGTCTCTTATGATAATAAAAAATAATAAGAAAAACCGAACCAAAAAATTACGTGAAAAATCCATATTAAAGACATTAAGTAAATAGACTATCCAGACCCCTGAGCAGCGCTTTAAAAGAGAAAAAGATAATATCCCCGAGATGTGATATATGCCTATCACTGATAAAATTTTCAAGCTTTCATGAAAATCTACCATGTTGTCGCATTCAAAAAAATATTATATATAAAATATAAGTTATCAGGGATTAGGATAGAACAAACAATAAGAAAATTTTATATTATTTTAACTTTATAAAAATGCGTTTAATTTATATTTTTAAATTATAAATTTTGGACCGAAATAAAATTTAAGCCGAGTAGAGCTCAGGTCAATTAAAAAATTAAATTTGAAAGGTTCTAGGTACCGTAATAGTCGATCTAATCCATTTTTTAGTTTAAATTTTAAAGACCCATAGCAGGAACTAGAGACATGCAAAATCAAAACTTTTAAGTGGAGACTGCGGCCTAGTGCCAAATTTTTTAATCTAGGTTTGGCGCATGGTGACAGGAATTTTTAAGAAATCACTCAAATATTAATTCTCCATTTTAATGTTATCTATCTAATGAGTTTAAATACTCAACAATAATAATGATTTATTATAATTAGTGCTGTAAAGTCACGTCAAAAAAAGTAATGTCGTTACTAGATAACGAGTTTGTTTGTTTTTGAATAACGGTAATGCAAAAAGTTACTTTAAATTTTTCCTTAAAAAATATGGAAAAAACATATTTTATTGTATTATAAAATTATTTTTATTTATTTTTTAAATTTTAAAAATAATTTAAGCCGAGTTTAAATTCGTTCATTTTTATTTAAAATTTTTGTGGTTAAATTTTCAGTCAAGATTGTTAATCTAATTAATATAGAATCAATCAAGATATGCTAATTTATATTCTTATTTTCCAATATTATAATTTATTTTATAAAGATTATTATGTCAATTGTTAATATCAGGTGAAGGTGATTTAACCTGCCCTGGCCCCAATATGAAACATTTTTTACAGCAATAAAGAAAATTAAGCGTACAAAGTCTATACTTTGTAAAATTGTTTCCAACTCAAATATTTTCATAATTATGGAATAAACTAGGACAATCACGAAACTGTGCAGTTTTTAAGGGGAAAATGGGAAAATATCTGATTAAACCGGTTATAACAAGATGGAACTCTTTTTATAACTCCTGAAATTAATAATCTCATTAAGGAGAATTGGCGAATCTTGTGATAAATTCGAATTACAGAGATTTTCAAATAACGACAGATGGTTCATAGATATACTGTATGATTAGTGTTAATTAAAAAATATATGTATTATGAAATGTGACAAAGAAAAGGACACTAAATTATTTTCTGATAAAGATAAAATATCTTGATGATGATCTGAATGATATCTGATCATTTTGAAAATCAATTGCTGTTAAAAATAAAATATTATAAAAATATAAGATCTCATCTTTATTATTTTTGTATAATTTTATTTATATTATATATAGGAAATTTTTGTAAATAATATTTAATATTTCAAGTAACGATTAACGGGTTACTTTCTGAATAGCTAGTAACGCACGTTTCTTTATCGCTAGGTTATGAGTAACGGTAATACCTTTTTTTGACGTAACGAGTAACGCGTTTCTTTTTTGAAGTAATGTTTAGCACTAATTATAATATATATGGAAATGAATTAAATAATTCCCAACTCCTGTAAAAAAAATTTTTAAATATATATTAAAATTGTGATATTCAATCACGGAAAAAAAATGCAAAATAGGAAGGATATATAAAATCCATATTTTCATTGGTATGACTATTTTTATTAGAGATCTGCAGGCCCGACCCTGGCTTAATTTTTCTAAATATATCCGGGGCAGGCCTAGAAATTTTTTTTAACTATATATAAAACTTAAAAATAAATATATTATTTTTAAAAAATCCTATTTCAATTTTTTCTGTTAAGCTATTCAATATCTTCATAAGTATTTTACAGTTATAAGCTCATATTTTTTTCCTCCACCTAGGACCTTTTGTAATGTATTTACCCAGTTTACGTTTCAAGGACGTATTTTTAAGTTATATTTAAAAAAGTTTTGCTTATTCCTTTGAGTGGTAAGATAGTGAACAGGCAAAAATTAACTCATGGTTTGGAACCATAATCAATTCTATAATATACATTTCTGCTTAAATTTTAATTCCCCAGAGGAAGATCATGGATATTGCTATTGCATCTTATTCCCACCCACTAAGCCTATATGAGTGTAGGTAAATACTATTTAAATATTAATGCAAACTTGTGAAAAGGCGTATGTTAGTATGAGCAAAACCAGTGGTATTCCCCATGCAATGCAGTGAATTGTCAATAAATAAGATTTATTTTTCTAAAAAGAGATGATATGAATTAAAATTGAAAAATTATACAAAAAAAATACTCTTTTCATTCTTGACAATTGATTTGTATTAATCAAATTCCATATTTGAGAAGACAAAGTAGAAAAATATATTAGAATAAAAGATAAATTGCAAGGAGTTGTGATGTCGTTTCTAATATATAATAAATTAAAATTAAAAATAAAAATTAGAGATCTATATAAGTCATTGAGCTATGCCTGAATTTTTCCATTTTTAAGCCTCACCTGAATTCTTTTTTAAAATTTCGGCTCAGTCGTTTTCTGATTTTTAAATATTGATTATTTTATGGCAAGGTTCAAACTTAAATTATTAAAATTTTTACTATATTCTGTAAATTGTTTCAAATGGAAATATGAGCAGAAAATGAATATTAAATGATTCATTGTACGATTTTTGAACTGTTTAATATAGATATAATTTAAATTTATTTTTTATCGGACCAGGTCATAGTCAAGTTAGTAATTTTTTTTATCTTTGAGTCTAATAGAATTTTTTTTAAATTATGTTATTTTACCGCCTTCTTCAGGCTAGGCCATATATATAGGCTATTGATAGAGTGTGTGTGTGGGGTGGGGGGGGGGTGTTTAAAAAGAATTATGATATAAATTCTTCATAAAAAAAATATCTTAGACTTACATCATTTTCTAAATAAGAGCATCTTAGATAAAAGATACTTTTTATAAAAAAATTTATATCCCTTCTGTTCACAATAAGCCATAAAGTTGATGAGGAAGCTAAGAAATCCTGTAGTCCATAAAAATTGATATATCATCCTCCCTCCAAATGTTGTAAGAAGTGTGTGAGAAACCACAACAGTATATAGGGAAAAATACCCCAATAAGCCGAAAAATAAATGACAACATATTCTATGATCATAAAATGAAATCCCAAGATTTTTCAAATAATTTAGAATTTTTTTTTAAATTATCTTAAACGCTAAAAAACACATAATATTTTGACACCTAATAAAATGTTAAGGCATATCTTCTAAATCGCTAAAGTAAATTTGAAATTAATATTATTAGATGATAAAGTGTAAACACTAGTATTTAAGTTGAGTTATCAGAAAAATTACTAAAAATAGTGGAAATATTATCATTGCTGCTCCCAATTTGATGATTACCAATGTGGGAATCTGGGAATTTAGATATTTCCTCCATTTTTAGCGATATTTTTAAAATTCTCAACTTAAATACAAGTGTTTACTCTCCTAGCATCTATTAATATTAATTTCAAATTTACTTAAAAAAAATTCAGGAGATATAAGGGAGATTCCCAATTTTTAGCGATTTTTGCTTTACGATTTAGAACGGGAACCATTGCGAATAATGTATTAAAACGTAGAGATGATGCTATATATGAACATTTCAATGCAATAAAAGGCATTTTTTTAATCTTTTGAAATCATTTTAAGGCATTATAATTGAATTGCGAGTAATACTAATATCACGCATACCCTTTTATTAATTTTAACATGAGGTTTATATTAATATTGGTTTTCAGAACCCAAGTATAAAATACCAATATCTTTATGTGAGGTGAATGTAATTCATCGCATATTATATACTTCCTTTAACCTATTATTGTTAATATAGCTAAAATTTCCAATGGAGATTTTATGGGATGCTGCTTAACATATTCCCTAAATTTTTAATTCAATTAGTATCTTGCGAATTAATATCGTTTTTTACGTATCCTAATCTGTGAATAAAATATTTAATTGACAACATTTTTCCTTTAACTCTCTTTCGAGAGCATTTATCAATTCTGGTGTATTGAATAAGAATCCAAAATAATTTTTAAAGAGTTCCAATCAGGGTTGTCATGTCTCCCCCCCATCAGCGGGAGACTCCCGCAATTTTTTAGTTTACACGCAGACATCCCTCTCCCTCAAAACTACCGCAATTGAAAATCTCCAGCAAAAATCTACCACAATTTTTTCATTTCTCCCGCATTTTTTTTTAGTACTTTAACGTTTTTAATATATAAATAATAATTTTGAGAGACAGTAATTGATTATTTTTAAATTAAATTTTAAATATTTATTCGAAAAACAGGTCTAGTTTGTAAATTTCTTATCCTGTTTTATTTTTATCCAATAATAAATCAACATCATTTCATTCATATAAGTCAGTACAGGGGATTATATCAACATCGATTGCAATACAAAAATATTCTCCAAAAATAATAAATAATACAGATGCAACTACAGTTGCGGAAATCGTATACACCTATCATGTAGTTCAACACTCACAGAGCTATATCATCACAATGTGGGTCGAATCTTTTTCCCATGATATTTAACGACTACAATATAAGTGAAAACCTTACTTGTGACATAAATGAGCAAAGCTATTACAGGTGTTTTAGTATCTGTGTTAAAAAAATTTTCCTCGGATAGTGAAAAATCCAACGATGTAGCTAGCCACATAATGTAAATATAGTTGATTTATGGTTATCAATTGCATATCAGCTTTCTGCGCTGATAATACCTCTGTAAATTTTGTCAAAAACCAAAGTGTATTTACCGAATTGAGGCAACACAATAATGAATTAATACCAATTGGCTGTATATACCATTTATTACATTTCTTGCAAGAAGGCAATGAATGTACTATCTGTGGATTTCGAAATAATTATGATGAAATGTTTTAACGAAGCCATCGATAGAATTTTAAAATTTTACAAACCCTTAAAAAAATACTTTTTAAATAAAGATTTTAAAAGCTGTCCTAAAATTTTGAAAAATTTTTTCGAATATGAAACGGCAAAAGCATATTTGGGATTAGTTTCACATGTAGGAAATCTACTTCATGCAGTTAATATTCAGTTGCAATCAGAACTTTATTAATAAAGATTCACAAAATCATGCTACAGCTCTGTTCAACTCTACAGTTAAAAATTGATAATAAATTTTATGGCGCTATTACTAAAAATATTATATTAAAATTTTCAAATAATACTCTAATTAATAAATTTTTAAATGAAGCAGATATTTTTATTAAGACGATTTTGGAATATTTACAATCAAAATTTGATCTTAATAACTATTTACAAATGTATAAATATTATGACCTTGGAAGAGAAACCGTCAATTGATGGTTTTTGTAATTTAATAAATATATTAAAAAATACCGAAAGACATTGATGTCTTGTTTGAAGAGATTGTATTTCTCTCTATTTTTTATGATTCGCCAGAATACTTAAATTTAGATGAACTAAAAGCAGAGGAGAAATGGGTAGAATTTTTTTGTAATAACAATAAATCCCCATACTTGGAAAAAATATGCAATATGTCTTCTCCTTACCTCATTCGAATGCCTCATCCAAATTTTTAGCCTGATGAGGACAGCCTGGAAAAAGGAGAGAAATCGGATTGCTTTAACAACATTAGAGGCCGAGCTAATGGTTAAAAAAATTTATATGTCATCCCAGGAATTTTATAAATATCTCAATAACGACGATAAACGTTTAGTTCCATTATTTAAATCTCAAATAAAATATAATTAACAATATATAACTATTTAATTTTCCATATGTTTTTAATATTTTATAAAATCTTATTTATACATTCGCATAAAATAAACATATATTTTACATTGTAAATCAAAAATAGAGAGACTTACAATATCCTTAAACAAGACATCAATGTCTATCGGTATTTTTAAAATATTTGAACATTTCAATATAGTTTTAGCAATGGCGCCATAAAATTTATTGTCAATTTTTAACAGGGATGTGAACCCTTCGACAAAAAAAAGGGTCCGGGTTCGGGTCCGGTAATAAATTTAAAAAGGACCCGGGTCCAGGGTCCGGGTTCAGAGGAAACATAAAAATAATGACTCAAAATAAGACTTTTTTTCATTCATTTTTTATTATACTTCAATATATACACATTTATAATTCGAAATGAGATAATTTATATTTTAAATATTTTATTCAATCACACATTCATGATATCTTCTAAAATATCATCCTTCAGATTTCCACGTAAATTAGTCAACGATGAAAATCCACGTTCTACACTTACCTAAAATAGATAGTCATTTTTATAATATATAAATTATTGTACTTGTGTTGCCGGTACAGCAATGACGATTCTAGAAAAGGTATAAAATTCTGGATAAATTGAAGAATTTTCCTCCCAGAATTTTAAAATGTTTGCATCTCTATTTATTCTCATAACTTCCGAGAACTTTTCTTATAAAGATATAATAGATATTTTTTGCTCCTTTCTATCAGATGATAATTTAATTTTTTTTTCTCTATCTAATAGTAAAATTTCCAGATCATCAATATCGTTATCATTATCATTGTTATCGCTACAACCAGTAGATATTGTTGTAACCACCAATGTATTGTAAATAATAGTTTTGGGTATGCCATAAATCTTCAAGATGGTCTATAGCCATTTGTTTTTGCTCACTACTTAATAAAACCTGATATCGCGGGTCTAAATATATAGAAGCATATACAACACTATTTTGTAAATATTGTTGCTCTCTTATTTTCGTATTTTCTAATACTTCATTTGAAAAAGAACTTGTTAATCTCCCTAACTCTAATCGACATCTTAACCATATGCCATAAAAATCTGATAAACATAATTGTTCTGCTTGCACTCTCAATGTTGTTATTTTTAAAGGAACCAGCACACTAGTAAGCTCTTTTACTTGATTCCAATCATCTTCTGACAAAATGATTTCACATGCTCCTATGATAAAATCATTACAGAAATCTTTCAAACTTAATAATCGCTCTAGCATCATACATATAGAGGACCAACGTGTTGTGCAATCTAAAATTTTTACCTTTTCATGGATTTTAATATTCTAACAATTGTGGGATTTCTTAAATATTTTACAACATCCCTTGCTTTATCAATTATAGTTTTAAAGTGACTATTTTTTAGGGAGATTCCACGAAAAAAATTAATAAAATTATAAAAATTTTACAATATTTTTTAAAAATTAATAAAATTATAAAAATTTTATATTATTTTTTAAAAATTATATTTTTACATTAATTTAAAAAAAAATAATTTTAAGTTAAAAATTTTTAGCACCCTGAACCCTTGGACCCTCCATTTTTTAAAAGGGTCCGGGTTCAGCCAAAATACGAGGGTCCAGGAGGGTTCAGGGTTCACATACCTGATTTTTAACTGTAAAGATGAACACATCTGCAGCATAATTTTATGAATCTTTGTTAAGATTCTTCCAATTGCAAGTACACATTAACAGCATGTAGTAGATTTCCTACATATGAAATTATTCCTAAATATATCTCTGCCATTCGCTATTGAAAAAAAATTTCAAAATGTTAGAACAGCTTTTATAATCTTTATTTAAGAAATATTTTTAGGTTCATAAAATTTTAAAATTCTATCGATGGCGGGTATTAGGAACATATCGCAACCAACATTGTGCTGACTCAATTCTATAAATACACTCTGGTTTTTCCAAATTCACTGAGGCATTATCAGATCAGAAAGCTGACATGCAATTTATTGATAATCCCGAATCTGCTATATTTTCCATTATATGATTAGCTATGTCTTTGGATTTTTTACTATTTGAGGGGAAAAAAATTAATAGTTTTCTTGAAACGTCTTTAATTTTGTTGAAATAGCGGAGGATAAAATATTTCCCTTATTAGATGCATCTGTTAATTGCATATCTATGCCCATCTTTCAAATCGTCATAAATTGACCTCCTGAATTCAGGTTCTAAAACATTGATGATATCCTTTCTCATTTTTGTTCTACAAGTAAAGTTTTCATTTATCTTGGAGTCAAATTTTATGGGGAAAGATTCTACCTACATTGTAATGATAAGTAGTTCTGTTTGTACTACAAGATAAGTGATTACAATTGCCGCAACTGTAGTTGCATTTGTATTATTTCTTATTTTTGGAGAGGATTTTTTTTTTGTAATGGATGTAGATACACTCTTTTGCACTGATTATAATGTGATTGAACAATAATAAATAAAATAATTATCATTGAAATGGGTACAATATTAACTTATTATGTATTTAAACGTGATACGTGATAATAAAGCGCCTATCCCTATAATGTTATACACACACAAGGTAGATTTCCAATTGCGGATGTTTTGTGGGACATTCGCATAAAATATATTTTTTACATTGTAAAATTAAAATCGTTTGTTTCTTTATAAAATTTTATCTTGTTTACATTCTTTTATATTTAAAAAGGATCTTTGGTTATTTTTTATAAATTAATATATTTTAATAAATCAAGATGTTATTCTACTTTGAAAAATAGTTACCGAATTTGCATTTATATAAACTAATTATAAAAAATAATAGGCTGATAATTAGTCAATTCAAAATCCCGGCCGCCGAAGGCCGATATTTTGCAGGCCTTTTTTTAGCAAATTTTTTATTTCCACCACAATTTTCATATTTCCCCAAAAAATACCAAATTTCTCCCGCAATTTGAAAATTTTGACCTGGCAACCCTGGTTCCAATTGCTGGAAACGTTCCTCCAACGAATTTCTTGCTTGATATAGTAATCCATTGAAAAATTCAATCTCATATTTTTTTTGAGGATCATGTATTAGCGTGTCATCTCCTTTGTAAGAAAATTTTTGAACTTTGCATCTACGAATTAATATTATTGAAGGTGCTCTTCTAAACTCATTTCCGATTCCTGCGCAAGCTCTTTTGCTAAGTCAATGGAATTCTGAAAGCCGTTCCCTTAAAGCGATCTAATAAAAATCTTGCCTACTTTCTATAAGTATAATGACTTTTTCCAATTCAATATTCTCACTTTGCATCACCTTACTTATTAAATTCACCTGGGTTAATATATCAAAACAGATGACAATACCAAAAATGGAAATTGTTTTTATTCTTTAGCCAATGAAATAGCTTTTGTGCAGCATTTTGGGTCATAATCTTTTCAGATACATCTATTAGTGCAGCGTAAATATCCCCAACCTGATTTCTAATGTTCTTTTTACTCTCCACCTAACAATCCCACTGTGTTTCAGGAAACGAGTTTAACATAAAATTATTTACATGATCCTTCAAAATTTGCCATTGCTTGAGTTGAAACAGAAAAGAGAACATATATTCATTTTATAAAAAAACATTTTGCAACTAATGATTTTCAAATACGTGTATTGAAAAAAGTTATTTATAATTTAATAATAAACAGTTAATTTGAATGTATAAAATTTTTTAAGAAAATTTTAAATTGTAAAGGTAATTGGAAGGTTTAAATTTTAACCTATATGAAATTATTGTTGATATGTAAATTTTAGTAGTATAAATAGTGAGATCGAAAATGTAATAATTCAAGAAAAAGAAAAGAGAAAGTTTTATAATTTTTACTTTTATGTTATTTTAGAATGATTTTGATTAACTATATTATTTTAATAAATTAATTGGTCATCTCAATTTTGATCATAATAATAAATGTTTTAAACAATGATGATCGTGCCATGTCACCAAGTAGCAGATTTAAGCTGTGGTAATAAAATAATAATAAATACTAATTTAAAATATTATTTTATTTCACCCAAAAATAAGATGATTATTACTTTAATACAATGATTAATATAAATATGGTAAAGAAATCATTAAATTGACATCAAATTGCATACAACAGTAAAGTTGGCATATATAAAATAAAATAATGAATATTAATTAAAAATATAAAAATAGTATAATGAAAGAAAAACTTAATAATTAACAAGATCTATGAGAAAATGTTGAAAATTGAACACTAATTATTTTTTAAGCTAAGTAATAAAGTATATATCTTTTGTCAAGAAATATTCTTTTGAAAATAAAGTATTTAGATATAAACATAAGTATTTTATTAAAAATGTCAAAAAAAATAGAGTATAAGATACACATGAAATGTAGATACAAGTATTCACAATAGGACTAACTGGATTGACAAATTTCTGAAAAAATTAAGCTTTTAAAATAAATTTAAAAATTATTTTATGTTAAATTTTTGAGAAAGTATAAAATAAAAAAATTAACTTCTTGATAACAAAGTTACTTTGAATAAAATATTAATTGATAACTCTTTGATAAAATATTAATTACTTTGTAATTGAGCTTCTAGAAGTTCCATCAGCTGAACATGCAATGCTATATCTTATATTCTCATAATTCACCATCAAGCAAGGAATAATTGAAAGGATATTCAATTTAATTCCAATAAATAAGGGCAAATTGATATAATTTAGCATTTGTTTTTTAAAATTCATAATAAATATTATCTAATTAGTAATTAAATTTAGATCACAATATTAAAAAATTACCAATATTAGAAAATAATATATTATTGTAAGAAAATTTGATGCTGTATAAATACCATAAAAAACTTTATCAAAATCATAATTATATGAATTTAATTTGCATGGGTAGCCACAGAAATCTATATCTTTATGCCATTTTTGGTACACGTTTGAATAAACTAATGGTGATAAGCAACTATGTGATTCACTACTGTTTTCAAAATTATACATTGAGCTCTAAAAAAAATTATAAAAAAATACATCAATTATTTTTTACTGGACATTGGTTTGATGACAAAGAGCAATTCAAAAAATAAGGGTTATAGTTTTTGAGAAGAAATCGGCATGAATACTTAATCAATCTACAATTACTTACACTTAAAACTTGAATCTTATTATTTTTGCATAATGGATAAGCATAGGAGCACAGATAAAACTGAATATAAGGCCAGCACTTGGGGATTTTCTCTAATACATTCCAATTTTGAATAGCGTATTCATTAGGAGTATTATTAACACTTCCTATAGAATTATATGGCATGAGATTTCCCAAACAAAAAACATTATTCTTCTCAAAACATAAAACATCAATTTCACATTTACTATTTAAATTTTCAAAGGAATAATGACTGATAATATCATATGATTCAATAGTTCTAAATAAAAGAAACTTTATTAAATATAATGAAATCATTCATTTATATTGCAAAACACAGCCTGAAATTTTAGGTTTTAAAAAATATTTTTAAAAAGGCAAGTAAGCTAAAATTGTCAAAATGACGGCTCTAAGTTGGAGTAGGAGGCCAATGACATATAATATAGACTGTCAATTAATGGATTTGAAGTAGTGTTGTTACGGCTCGTTTAGAGCCGATTTTAAAAAAGTCTAACTCAATATTTTAGCAATAAAAATATTGCTTAAGCCTCGAGTTCGTTAATTGATGTCTAAACCTTTGTGCCATCTATGATGAGAAAAATCTTTAGGCTTACGTAATATTATTCTGGATAAATATTGAGTAAACCGTTTTTAAAATCGGCTCAAATCGAGCCGTCTAACAACACTAATTTGAAGTGGCATAAATTGAAGTGACTGGTTATCATTTTTAGTATGTATTTATCAAAGAATATATGATATTTTCATAATTTTCAGATATATTTTTATTATGTTTTCTGCAAAAGGGTGTTGTTTAATAATTAGTTAAAGTTAGAATAAATACTTTTTATAATAAGAATATTATATTTTCTGCTCGTTATATTTGGATATTATTTAACCCTTCAATACTCCGGTGAAAAAATGACGTTAGTTCTCGAATGGGGTTTAATAGACCCCAATTTCAAATGTATATATCTCCAGTTATATTATTTATTTTCATTTGATATTGGATATAAGATAGATCTAACCTTAAGCTTGATAAAATAATTAAATAGTTTTATTTCTTAAACCTAGATTAAAGATGATAAGAATGATTATAATTTGTGCCAAAATTTTTTAAAAAAAAACTTTTTTTAAATTTCAAATATAAAATTAAAAAAATAACTTATCCATCATATAATCACGATAATTCATAATATGGATCTTTATTCTTCAATATAAAAAAATATTACACTAATACATTTAAATATAAAAAAAATATAGAACATTGAAATATGCTAAATTTGACATGCAAAACATTTATTACATAAAATATTAATGTGTTCCAAACATAAATTTATTTTACATATTTGACAAAAATATTTTGTTTTTTTTTTATAAGGAGTATAGTTTTATGCCATATTTTGATGGTTTATTTGGCATGTATTGCTTGAATGGGCATTTACCACGAAATGCTGGAAGCATTTCATCTAGGGTTGCATATGATATTGTATAAGATCTGTAACAGTTATCAACAAATTCTCGAAAAATATTTCTAATGTGAGTTGCTTTGTCTACCATTTTCTCTCTTCTCTTGTTAATATGTTATCAAATCTTATTGTATAAATTAGAAATCTGAATCTTTTCAGTGATTGTTGCTCTAAATATCTCAATTCCAAACCCATCCGATTTCCATAAATCTGACATATTTTGATGAATTGATTTGAAAATTTCAGCTAAATAAAGAATTCCCAATAATGCCTTGAATTCTATTATTTCCACCTCTTTAGTAGAACTTTCATATTGATCAGTGTAGTTTTTACTTATAATTTTATTTTTTTCATTTGTGATAAATAATTTATTCAGTCATTTTTGGTGATATGAACAAATCAAAAAAAATTTCTGGGGTGTCAGCTTCTTTTCTATATTCTTTTACTCCTGTCATATGAAAAATTAAATTTTGTTGACGTGTTCTTACTCTTTGATTTACAATCCTTTTTCCATTGAGTCACCTTATTTTTAGCTAATTTTACAGAGAAATAAATATGATAAATAATTCCATATTTACCTAAATAATATTTAAGTTTATTGTCTGTTTCAACTAGCATATCTTCTTCTTCATCTAATTCAGATTGTGTATCATGATCACTATCAAAATAGAATCTTCTTCCTCACTAACAATTTCAAATAAAATGATATTACATATCTTAAATAATTTTTTATTTACTATCAGAATCTGCAAAAATCATAGTATATGATAAAAATAATTTGAAAAATGAGCCAGATGGTGTAATAAAAAGAAAATAACTCCACCAAAAAAAATGTTTAAGTTTTCTTTTTCATATATCTCAATCAAAATAAAAGATATTTAAATTTTGTTTTAATATATATTATAATATAGTAGTATATATTTTTAATTTTAAAAATTTTTAAAAAGAAATTTCTTAAAAAATTACAAATTTACTCTGATGGAGTCTCACAAACCCCAATCAGTCACAAAATGCTTATATCTTTAAAAATACTCAACCGAAATATATGAAACTTTGAATATAGATTCTAAGATATATTTGATGATGCTACTGAAGAATCCAGATCTTAATATTTAACCGTTTTTATGTAATATCATTTCTAGCATGTCTGGGGTTTTATATACCCCAACAGAGTATTGAAGTTTAAGATTTTATATAGAAATATAAAATAAATCTTTATAATAATAAGAATATAATTCAAAATTTTTTGTCCTTTATTAAAATTTCCAGAAAAGAGGATATATTGTTTTCTTTATAACTTAATGAATATCATTAAGATTTCTCAAATTTATTTAGACTAATCAAGTTAAATTAAAGTGAACATTTTTTATAAGAATACAATTCATTTTCTATTTATATATTCAATAACAAAAATCAAAGTGAGGAAAGATTTATTATATAATATTAAAATGACTTATATTTTCATTTATATTTCTAATTACTAAATGATTTACCTATCATAAAGTATAATATCAGAATTATCAATTTATCCTGTTATCTAGTAAAATACTTGTCATTTTGAATTAAATATTTTTTATGTGATTTGAAATTTGTTATAAATATAATATTTTTATATTTTAAATATGCACAACGCTGTATATATATCGCGAAAAAAATTCTCATAATTTTTTACAATTATAAATATAATATATACATATGTTATACTTACATCTAACAAAATAAATGTATTATATAACCAGTGGTATAGAGGGTAAAGATTTTCAAACAAATTTTCACCATAATTTTTCCTTCACCCATAAATATTTAAGTTAAGTAACATATTTTTATATAACTTGGTTTATTGCCCTTGAAAAAAGTACGGTTTTGTTTAGTTTTTACCTAATATTTATTTTTAATTTTTGATTTATTATATTTCCATAATGATGCAATCATAGGCGTAGCAAGGATTTTCCTAAGGGGGGGGGGGGGATTAAAAAATTATTGGGGGGCCTCGCCCCCAGACCCCATTTTGGGAGGGGCCTGGAACAAATATAAAATATATTTTTATTAGTTTATATAAAATATAATTAATTATTTGCATATATATTAATAATAAAGCACAGTGGCGTCACTAGGGGGGGGGGGTCGCGCAGGGGCTCTAGCCCCCTGAAAAATTTGAATAGCCTTCTGAAGCAAAAAAAAAAATTTTTTTAATGGTTCCTTAATATCCCCTTAAACTAAAAAGAACTTTTTTTGATTGTCCCCTGTTTATTATAATTCTATTAAGTAATATATTGATTTAATTTTATTATTTAAAAATTAATAAGACTATCTAAATTTTATTAGATTAGATTAATACATATAAATTATATTTTCACTATGTCAGCTTCAATCAAATTCTTTGTTAAAAATAAAATATCAATACCATGCTTAATGTTTAAATATCAATTAAGCATTAACAGTTGAAGTTTAATTGATTTTTATTAATTAAATTATTATATAACACTAATTAAATAAATATAAAGATTTATTAATTGAAAATTAACAAATTTAATATTGTAAGCCGAGTTTAAAATCATTATTTAAATAAAATGACTTTGCGATTTAAAAATTTAAGCATTAAAGACTTTATGAAAAAAACTAAAGATAAAAGTAGTAATAATCTTGAGGACCAAAGAAGAGGATTCAATAATAAAGCTGGTGATGAACAAAGTATATTTTATACAGTTTTTAAAATTCAAACTTTGATTTAGTTGAAAGACGATTAATTGTAGTTTTAAAAGATATAAATATTGAAAACAAAAATGTTAAAAGAAAGAAAATAGGTAAATAAATTTATATATAAGTCTGTGTCCAAAATGTTTTGAAAAAATCCTTAAAATTTTCACAAATTAATAACAAAACACTTTGGACATTTAAGTTTTAAAAAATAAAAATTTATTAGTTAATTATCTATTTTAATGGAAGGTTTCTTTTTCACTTGATCATAATTGAAGTTATATGTTTTTCCTATTTCCTCCCAAATTCGCCTAATTTCTATAGAATTTCTATTTAAGTCATTTTTCACCAGAGTATTAAACAATATTGATTTCTTTAATTTTCAAGTTAAGCAAAAATTGCTTTACAATATATTTTCACCTTTCAGGAGCAGGACACTAGAAATGGAAAATTTTTTTTAAATTTTTCTATTATAATCACATAAGGTGATGTCAAAATATTAGCTAAATAAAACATAGTAAATATTTTCAATAGTCAATATCTTAAAAAATCATACACTATTATTCTTTTTACATTAATAAAGATAATATTGGTTAAATTGTTTACTCAATCATTCTTTCATAATTTGATAATTATATATTTAGTTGTTTATCCTAACTTAATAATAAACTATATTTTAATAAAAATGCTAAATAAATTTAGAATAGTTTGCTTATTTATATATATTTTTGAAAAATGGACACATGGAATATTACTTTTTATATATTATATTTACAAAAATAAATACACTGAAAAGAAATACATTTTAAAATTAATCTTATTTCGATATTATGATAAATGAATTAAAAAAAAGATTTTGCCAAGAAAACACAGATATTTTAATAGCTATAAATGCTTTACATCCCTCCTCCCCCTTTTTTTAAATAATGATATCATTAAACCATTTATCTTACATTATAATCTTCCTGATCCAATGGAAGAATACATAATATTAAAGGCTTATATTTTAACCTATAATAAAAAACACGAATCTACGTGTAAATCAATAATAGATTTGATAAAAATCTTACCCATAGATATATTCCCTCGTATATTTAATTGCCTTAAAATTGCGTTAACTATACCTTTTAATTCCTGCCGTTTTCAGCATTAAAACGGGTGAAAACATATCTTCGATCGACAATGGGTCAGGAACTATTAAATTCGTTGGCTCTATTGAGCATAGAAAAAAATATTATTAATATCATTCCTATAGATCACATTATAGATGAATATGCAATAATAACTAGCCTGCGT